AATTGGGACCAGCTGTTATCAGCCGCAGAATTTGTATATAATAATGCTCAACAGTCATCAACTGGGTTTACCCCATTTCAACTTGATTATAATAATCAACACTTAACCCCTAGCAGTATAGCGGCAAAAACTTTAAGGAACGTAAAGGTCAAGGCTGCTCATGAATTGTATAAACACAGGATGGCAATAATGGGAATGGCAAGAGACGCCCTAATTTTAGCACAGGAAAAGCAAGCAAAATATTATGATAAAGGTCATAGGGATCTAGAAATTCAAAAAGGAGACCAGGTTATGCTTTCAATGCAAAACCTTATACCAGCAGCAGATTTAAAATGAGCCTCAAGGAAGCTGGTTCCAAAATTTATTGGCCCATATAAAGTTGAACAGAAGGTGTCAACAACGGCTTATAAATTATGCTTGCCCCTGAATATGAAGGTTCATCCAGTCTTTCACATATCCTTATTGAAATATTATATACCTAACGAATATGAAGGAAGAAACGAACTATTACCACCTCCTGAATTCCTTATAAGTCCGAATTCAGAGTCTGAATTCGAAGTAGAAGAAGTGTTGGATAAACGAACCTACTATCGGAAGCCGCAATACTTGATTAAGTAGAAAGGATATCCTCTTTATGAAGCAACGTGGAAGCTGTTATCAAATTTGAAAAACACCATAAAACTAGTTGAAAAATATGAGTCGGCCAATGTAACGGCTGAAGAGGAGAACCTTGAAACGGAATGTTTTAGTTTAGGTAGGAAAGAGTGTAATGGATTAAACCCGCATAACAATGATCATCCCGGTTGTAACGGCTCTGACAACGATTATATGCAAGAGACGACAATCGATCATAACCTGGATAAATTAGGAAGGAAATTAGTAAGTATCCGGGCAATAGAATAGAAGGAAAATAGAGAATACTCATCATGCTCATATGACACAGTCACGATTCATTGATCATGATCGTGCACCCAAAAATTAATTAATCAATTAATGCGAGGTTGGATAGTT